AAATAGAAAGGCAAAGACAAGAAATATTAGAATTGAAAAGGCAGTTAAGCGAACATTGGGAAGAAATAATTCAAGTAAAAAATTTATACCAGGAAAAATGTGAAGAAAATGAGAATCTTATCAAACAATGGAGCTCTCGACATGATAATCAGCATAAGCGTATACAAGAAATTGCTAATATTGCATTGCTTGAACGAGAAACCATATATGAAGATATTATTTCTTTGATTAGTGACAATAATAGGTTTTCTTTAGAAAATCTATTAAATTATATACCACAAAGATGGCTAAGTGAACATAATCCGGTTGTTGTAAAATTTATTGAAATACTAACCTATAATAATTTTAATTCAGATTCCTTAAGCACTAAAAAAATTTTCAAAAGGGCAATGGCTGTTGACTTAATTTATGGGTCCAGGCATGGAAAATACATCTCGGAAATAAATCTCTCAGCATCTGCTATAAAGTATTCCATTGCAAGGTCAAAGACTATTCTTAATATTAACAATTATATTACGTGTTCGGGAAGCTATTCTCATTTTCAGAAGTGGTTGGATGGGTTATCTGAAGAAGAAGAAACCCTTCCTAGCGGACTTTTATTTATGGCGTTTGATAATGAACAAAAGGGGCAACAAAACTATCTTAATCGGGGATCAAATACAGTAACATATAATATCGTTACCAGTTTTGTTACCTTTAATATGGAATCACAAAGTTATGTACAACATACTAATTCACCTTGGGTTTCTAATTTTTGTAATAGGTTACAGTATGAAACCCTTTTCTCTATCACGCCAGAGATGCAGAATGCGATAGATGAAGAACTAAATGATTATCTTTTTGAAATTCTAAGTATATTGCTTGAAGAAAAATTGGCTATAACTAATAACATTGATACTCTTGTTTCTAGTATAGAGTCGAATAATCGTTGTGACAAACGATGCCTTGCCTGTAGTGAACAAAATATTGATAATAAGAAACAGATTTGTCCGAAATGTGCCGCTCGTCTACCTAAATTAGCTGAACTACGACAACATCAAGCTCCTGAGTTAGAGAAAGATACAAAGGATCGTCCAATTATTTTTAAACCCTATAACATTGAAGAGAAATCCAATTCGTCTACTATGCCAAGAATAAGCATTACTCAAAAACAATCTCCTGATAAAGGAGTTAAGATTCCAGAAATTTTTATGCCCGATCCTCTTGATATTAACCCTAACTTGATTGCTAATGTTGAAAAAATTCTTCTTCATATAGAGAAAATTTCAGATGTTAGAGATGGAATACGAAAATGGGTAGTTGTAACATGTGACGGTGTTCCATATAGCTATATAGCCAAAATAAGGCATAAATATCCCTAGCTCGTTTTTGTTTCTGGACAGCTACACGAAGAGATGAATATGCTTCGTGCATATATAGAATTAAATTGGTATGTCAAATTGCATTCAAAATTAATGCTTTTGTTGGGCAAAATTTTATATCCATCAAAGCCGATAATATTTGAATTTTATGTCGGCTAAGTCAAAGTAATCTTTTAAATTGAATTGATATTCACATAACATTTATTGATGATCGCTAGTTTAAGAATTTTTTTAACTTGGATTGACTTTTTTTAAATTTTTTTTTTCTCAATTTTTTTTAACTTTTTTTTTCATTGTTTTTAATTTATAATTTTTATATTAACATGTTTTTACTTTATTTGATAGGAATATCGATATTAAAGAGTTTGCAAAATGCCAAGGATATAAAATGGAAAATCAGCTTGCGTATTTTAAGAAGTGCTATGATCATTATAAAGCCTGGGATTCCATTTGTAATATTTATCATCAGGCAATAGCTATAGAGCTGGTCTGGCCATACGTCAAAAATAATTCGAATCCATCGATAAAAGGGTATTTAACCTGGGCGAAAGAACAAAATGATCCTCTTTATCAAATTAAATTTGAACAGGTGAATTTCATTAGTATTTTCGCATTTATCTTTTTTTTAATTTTTCAGTTTTATATTTATAATTTATATTAATTTATTATATAGGTTTTTTGTTATTTACAATCTATTGTTAATTATAGGACGGCTATAAGAAGGAATGATCCATTGTTGAAGAAGGCTGCAAGAAGAGTTTTTTCTGCAGTATAGTCAGCACGATGCCATCCGATATATCGACTGATAGAAGCCTCGGATGAAGTACAACTAATGCAACTCGATCCATCAGTAAGAGGTATCATAGAGCAAAATTGCACTGTTTCTCGGTCAAGGCTCTTTAATCAGCATCAAGGATTGGATACGATTTTAGAGGAGATAAATAAGACTTTAAAGGCGCTGATACCTCCTATTCCACAAATGCATCATTGGAAAGTTGCTGCAAGAAATTGTAAAAAATTTTTCAAAGTAATTATTATATTTAATAATTTAAAGTATTTAAGTATTTAAGTTAATTAATTTAAATCTAAAAAAAATCTAGTTGCGAAATAATTTCTTTGAATTGATAGGATATAAAGATTTCCAGGCGAATAGTCCAAGAACCCGGCCAGAGTCAACTACTGAATGTCAAAGGTTCTGAGCTCGTCTAAGAAAAGATAATTTTGTTAATCTAATAGATTCAAGAATTATTTGTAAAAGTCTGGAAGAAGAATGTGAACTAAGCACACATTTGTCAAATTTTACTAGTTTAGCACAAAATGCTCGAAAGGAATATATTACTAATGTTTTCTGTAATAATAATCCAGCACCTTCATTTAGGTTAATTCCAGTCACGAAGCAGGAAGAAATTGTACAAGAAACTGAAGCTCATATAACCAAACCGGAAATTATTCATAAGATCAGAATTCTTCTTGAACAGTTGGATGAGAGTACTCGGAAAAGATATAGTGGAATAAAGTCCAAAAAACGGGAAGAATTATTAACTATACTGGAAGAGGTAAGGTCTTTATTTGATTTGGATATACATCATAACTCTGATTTTAATGAGAATTCAGAAGTACAGAATAATAATCAATAAAGACATTTGAGATTGGATGTGAATTTGAATTTGTATTTAATATGAAATTTTAAGAATTTTAATTCGAATTTAGCTTTTTATCTAGTAGAGCTTGCAGATAATTTTTTTTTTTAAATATTTGTATGGATTATAAGGCCATGCAAAATTAATTAATTGGTTTTCATAACCCGGTCGGGTCAAAATTTGAAAACTTGTAAAAAAAATTTTTTTATAAGTTTTAATAACCGGGTAGGTTTTTTAAAATTTTTAAAAAAAAATTATAAAACTTTTATATATGAAACTTAAAAAAAAAAGTCGGCCGGCCGGGTCTGTTTTGTTATGAAAACCAAAATATTAAATTTGTGTGGCCTAATTTTTAAATTCATTTTCATTTTAAAAGTTGTAAAAATCAACTTTAATAGTTTATTAAAAATAAATTACAAAATTATGAACGAATAAAATAAATTGTGTCGCACGCAAGAATTACACTTAAATGATCAATTCTGAAATTTGATTGTGATTTATGACCAAGTTTTATTTCCGAATTCCAGAATTCTCAAATTGATAGCTTTATTCTATTCTAACAATCAGAATTTCGGGAATTTCAAACTTTTTTTTTTATGCCACTTGATTTTCGTATTGCTGTACTGAAATTTACCCGGATCTTATAAAATCTTATTTTTGATTTCCAGGAACGGTTTGGCAAATGAATATTTTCTTAATGAGATTTATTATAAACTGATGCGACTAATAAGTTTAACCAGTTTTGGCAAAACCCGATTAAATATATAAAAATTGTATCAACAGTAGTTTAGGTAATGTTTTAAAAACTTGGATTTCACGAAAGTTGCAATATAAATTTTAATTTTTCGCTAGTAGAAAGTGTTTTTTATTTCACTCATTTCATGCTTTTGGAAGATGCTTCACATTTTCTAAGTTTTTATATTATTATCCAATTTTCAGATTATATAGTATAAAATTTGATTCAATAGCTTTTAAGCCAATTCTCTTGTTGTAAGAACTTTTAGGCTTTTAATAAGATCAAGCGCCTACAAGTAAATCTTAGTGTCTTATGACGTTTAGAAGAGCTGGTATAAAATACGAAGATATTAAAAAAAACCCCCAATATTTGGATTCGAATTTCATGTGAGCAATATAATGTGATTAGATAATTATTCATTTATCGTATCAGATATAAAAAAGAGGTGTAAAAAGAGCTGTAACGAAAAAAAGTATCAAAAAAATCTAATTCTGTAACTCGCGCAATTGTGCTTCTAGAAAATTTCTAGAACAAACTGATCTACATTTCTATACTATAAAAGGTGCGATCTGCACTGCCCAAATTTAGTAATGTGCCCGACTGTATTATTAAATTACCCGGTTATCCGGGTAATTTATTATGCCATATAATAAAATGTCTACCCGGGTACAATATCTATTCATGAACTACTAAGTGCACGCCTTTTGTTGGTCCCGAAAGGGTGCAGCAATCGTCAATTAATCCGATTTTTAAATATCAACTTAATCGAGTCAAAATTTTAGATCAACTACAAACACTACCCAATATATATTGTTCAGGACAATAGCAAATTATTACGTCACGCGAACATCTGCGTGATCATATATAAAGAAACAAATCTAGCGCATGAAAGATTTGCCTTTCGAGTTTGTAAAGATCAACTATCTTAAAAACCTTACAATGGTAAACTTTTGATTTGGTTAAAATTTTCCAAGCCTTCACAAGAGCCATTTATTATTTGGCGAATCCTTAATTTTTTTTTTCTTTTTCCTTTTTTTTTTTTTTTTATACACGTTTTCGTTATTTTAATGCGCCTATTGTAAAAAAGATAATGTGGTTTTCTTTTTAATGTAGAACTCTTCTCAAGAACAAAAAGTCAATAAAGAAAACCTAAAGTATAGCCAGAACCAGTAAGCTTAAGTACTATGATTAATTGAATTATCACAACATTGAAATATTTCTGCGATTGTCTATATTAGACGAACTGTCCCTAGTACATTATCTATGAATGATTTTAAAATTGGGCGACAGATCGGCAAGGGTAAATATGGTCGCGTATATCTGGCGATTTATAAGGCAAGTGGGTATATCGTCGCACTGAAAATTCTGTTAAAACAAGAGTTGCAACATGAAAAACTATTGAAGCAATTGGAACGAGAGGTTGAAATTCAAGGCAATCTTGAGTAATTCAATTTTTTGCATCAAGTAATGAATTTGAATTATCAGGGTTAAAAAATGGATAAAGACGAAATTTTACTTTTAGTCATCCTAATGTCCTCAAACTTTATGGCTACTTCCAAGATGATAACCATATTGTAATGATTTTGGAATTTGCACAATATGGAACGTTATATGATTTTCTTAAAAAATCGCAGCGAATTAGTGAAGGACGATCGGCACGGGTAAATATGCGTATATATTTATATTAAATTATTTCAAAATTATTTTTAGATAAAATATTGCAGAAAACATTCCAAAATTTTTCAAAAATATTATTTTTCAAAATATTTCAAAATTTATTACGCATATTTTTTTTATAATGCAAATTCTTTCGCAATATTTCATATCTATTGATTCATGGCGAATGATAACCATACATTCTGTGCAGTATGTAGCGCAAATAGCCAGAGCCCTGCAATTCATTCATCAGAAACGTATTATTCATCGGGACATTAAGCCGGAGAATTTGTTAGTTGGACGAAATGGTGAGCTCAAACTAGCTGATTTCGGATGGGCAACATATGCGCCGGGTTTATCAAGGTGAATAGTTGACGGACGACTTATAAATTTAAAGAATTATATTGGTTTAACATTTGATTTTTTTCATGTGTAACACAGTGCCCCGCTCACAACAGTTTGTGGAACTTTGGATTATCTTGCACCAGAAATGGTGCGACGCCTTCCGTATAATGAAAATGTTGATGTGTGGGCCCTTGGAATCTTATGTTATGAGTTGTTGGTTGGTGTGCCACCGTTTGAAGCAATAGGCTTTCATGAGACTTGTCGACGAATTATGTGTGATAATGTAAATATCCCGGATCACGTGTCAAGTGAAGCTAGGAACTTTATTTTAATGGTAGTTACAGTATACAGTAAGCTATTTTTCGTTAAGTTATTGCATTGTTTTCATTATTATAATCTTTATGTAGGTGCTTCAAAAAATTCCATTCTGTCGTCCATCCTTGGAAGATATTTTGAATCACCCTTGGATTCGTATGCATAATAGCATGACAACATCATCTTTGAGTAAACCACGAGTTAGCAATAATAGGCTTACTTTTAATAATCCACTGTCTGAAATTCGTTACAATACTTTTTAACATTGCTTACGATTTGTTTTTATTTTGTATCGCTTTTAATAACATTAATGTACTTTTACATTTTTACGTAAAGACGATAAAATGTGTTAAAGTAGCTAATAAAGTGATAATATACATTGCTTAAACAAACAATTTTATTAATTTAAATAATTTGTTTTCCTAACCTGGCCGACTCAAATTTTGGAAACTTTAAAAAAAAAAAAAAAAATCTGGCTGGACGGGTCTATTTAAAAACTTCATGTTATGAAAACAAAGTCATTAAATTTGTATGGCCTAACATTTATATAAACAAATTTTTTACATTATATAACAGAATACTTAACGTTTAATAACACTCAAGTATTATAAAGTGGGAACCATATCCCGCACCAATATATTCCTTTCTTTTAGATAGTTTTTAACGCTTTGTATCGGTACTTCGCGTCGATGAAAGATACCAGCAGCAAGAGCAGCTTCTACATTGGTTTCGACAAAGACTTTTTCAAAATGTTCTTCACGTCCAGCACCACTTGATGCAATAACTGGTATTTTGACTGCTCTTTTCACGTCTTGTATTAGTTCCAAGTCGTATCCAGAATTTGTCCCATCTTTATCCATACAATTAAGGAGAATTTCACCAGCACCCATAGCTTCACAGATAGTAACTAGTTGATGAACGTCAATATCTCGACCTTCGCGACCACCTTTCACAGTACATTGATACCAACACCATGTTTCCCCTTTAGGACCGGGGTATGACGTTGGGATAACATGATGTCCCATCGCATTAGTTGGGGAATCAACGTAAACACGTTTTGGATCCACAGAAATTACAACCGCTTGAGATCCATAGGCACGAGAAATGGTTTCGATTGCGGTGTCTCCTGATAGTTTCTTACCATTTGCAAGATATTTTTCTACAGCATACACAGCATCACTACCAATAGAAACTTTATCTGCCCCTGATCTAAAATACTCTCCCGCAACTTCAAGTGCGGAATGAAATTTACCATCAGGATCAGTTACATCTCTTATACCACCACCAATAGTTAAAGGAACAAAAACAGTTTCTGAAGTACGCTTTAATATTTCTAACATCGGCAAATCCGTTAGCGGGCAATTTCGAAAACTTGTGATATTCAAAAATGTAATTTCATCGGCACCTTCATCAAAATATCGGCGTGCTAAATCAACAGGTTTTCCAAGATTGCGAACTTGTCCTGAAACTCCTGAGCCATCACTACTCTCACGAACGTCATATTGATCACCTTTGGTAACAACCAAATCACCTTGGTCGTTAGTTCGCACATCTAAACAAGCAATGATTCTTTTGGTAAACCGATCTCGGGATAATAATTCAGGATTTTTTATTATGAATTGCCCGCTGACATTATTCACAATGCCATCACCTTGCAAAAAGGATCTTAGAATTCTTAAACCAGCATATCCACTTTTTTCTGGATGAAATTGAGTGCAGAGAATGTTATCTTTTTGAATCACGCTGATAAAAATTTCTTTACCATATTGAGTTGTCGCGAGTGTCCATTCCTTGAGATCATCGGTGAAGGGTACAGCATAAGAATGGACAAAATAATAGACAGTTCCTTGTTTAATGCTATAATAATTATCTTCTGAATAATCTTCGTTAACCTCGTCAATCCTCTTAACGCAGAATACTTCGTTCCATCCCATATGTGGAACGGCTTTGTCAGTTTTATTAAAGAGCTTCACGGTACCTGGAATAATGCACAGGCCAGGAACATTGGGATTTTCCTCGGATCCATGAAATAAAGTCTGTAAACCGACACAAATTCCCATGAATGGTTTTCCTAATTTTATATATTGCTTTAGGGGTTCGGCGTAATTTTTTGATGTTAATAATTCCATTGCGCTTTCGAAAGCACCTACTCCTGGAAAAATTAATTTCTGTATTGATCACGTGAGAATTATAAAAAAGATATTTAGGCTTGATGAAATGTTTCTTTATATGTTCGTTATTATTATTATTTAAATTATATTTATATTTATATATTGTCTACTTACATCTGCTGCTAAAATATCCTCGGGTCTTTCGACCCATTTAAATTCATATCCTAATCGATTTAAGGCATTCGCTAAGCTACGTACGTTTCCCGCACCATAATCTAATAAATATAAACCACACATTGCTTGTTATACAACTTGAGGGAAAAAGTTTTTTTAGGGTTCACGCGTCATCCTTTAAGATAAAATGTGGCAAAAATCATCAATTATGACCCAAACCTCTTGGTTTTACCAGTAACTTATGATCGTATGATTTGACCAATCAGAAAAGATTTTCTTGTACAATGCATTCCCATCGAAATATCAAAGTCTAAAGTCTTAATATACGAAAGCTGATCAATGTCAGTTGATAACGTTGTAAAGGTACATACATTTAGAGTTGGCATTTGTATGCTAGTCACAATGATATTAATGGAACATGCTATCTAAAATTCACAGGTTGCAAACATATCTTCACTCGTAACTGAACCGATACTGAAACAGTTGTTTGAGTTCCTAGGTGATGTTACAAAAATAAAACTATATAACAGGTAAGAATTTTTTCCATATACGCGTTTATTTTTACACACATGTAATTAGTTTGTTTTATTTTACAGTCCTCATGGTGATGGCGTGCAAGAATGTACAATAGAGTTCAAGGAAGCATATTCAGCAATAACAGCTCTCCATTTAACTGGAGTGGAATTGGGTGATCGCACCTTGATGGTGTCGTCAACGACTGCTCCTTCTGGCATTCCTTTTAATAGTTCATACCAACAACAAATCATATCATCACAGATGCTTCCACAAAATCTCTCACCGCCTAGGTCACTTCAATCCAAATCAGCTCAAAAACCTTTGATCACACCCATTACCGTACAACCGTTCTCTATAAATTCTCTTGCAGCAATAAGAGCGAATCCCGCAATTTCTCCGACTGTCGCACAATTTGATCCAGCCAAGGCCGAAGAAATATCAAGAACGGTATACATTGGTAATATCAATTCCTCGATATCGGAACCGGAATTAACACAATTCTTTTCGGCCTGTGGTCCAGTTGCCTATGTGAAAATGGCAGGTGATCCAGCTCAACCTACAAGGTTTGCGTTCTTAGAGTTTGCTACTTTTGAAGGTGCGCAGGCTGCTATGCAAATGAATGGCGTTATGTTAGGAGATCGACCTTTAAAGTAAGATTATTTATTGTTTGTGAATTATCGTCATCAATATTATACGCATATATCTTATTAATATTTCTTTATATTATTTATATAGAGTAAATCATTCGAAAAATGCAATTAATAAAACACCTAAGAAGAATGATGCACCGGATGTACAAGCTACCATGCGTCGTGTTAGAGAAGCACAACTGAGAATTGCTAACCGATTAAATACCGATGGGCCTATACCAGATAATTCTCCTTCAGCATCAATAAATGATGTTGAAATGATGGATGTTAGTTCACCTGCTGCTGAAGCGGTTCTACCTCGTAGTCGTTCTAGATCCATCCTGCGTAGTAGAACAAGGTCTGTAACGCGAAGTCGTAGTAGACCCAGGAAACGTAGGTCAAGGACTAGGTCAAGGTCGAAAGACAGAGGTATGTACGTTTAGATTGTTTGATGAGATTATAACAAATTTATTTAAAATGTAACTTATCAAATTTATCATGATAGATTACCATTATAGAAGGAGACGTTCAAGGGACCGTGGAGATCATGATAGAGGTTTGAATCTTGGCTTGGCTTGTTTTAATCAGAGGTATCAGTGCGACTATGGTGAATGGTCAGGCCACGAAAGTGGCACTTTTTAATAAGTTCTTTAATAAGCAAATTACTGTGCTGATACCTCTGAATTGGAGTATTGAGCCCGTATAGTTAGTACAATCAGCGCATTGACATTTAGAGTTTATTGACTAAACTCTATTGTAGGTGACCGATATAGAGATCGTGACAGAGAACGGGAACGAGAACGTGAGAAAGAGAGGGATCGAGAGAGAGAAAAGGAACGTGAACGTGATAGAGAACGTGACAGGGAACGAGATAGAGAACGTGATAGAGAACGTGACAGAGAACGTGATCGTGATAAAGAAAGAAGGGAAAGAGACAGGGATAGGGACAAGGACAAAGAGAAAGACAGAGAAAAGGATAGAGACAGAGAAAAGGATAGAGACAGAGAAAAGGACAGAGACAGAGAAAAAGACAGAGACAGAGAAAAAGACAGAGACAGAGACAGAGAAAAAGACAGAGACAGAGAAAAAGACAGAGACAGAGAAAAAGACAGAGACAGAGAAAAAGACAGAGACAGAGAAAAAGACAGAGAAAGAGAAAGAGAAAAAGACAGAGAAAGAGAAAAAGATAGAGAAAGGGAAAAAGACAGAGAAAGAGAAAAAGACAGAGAAAGAGAAAAAGACAGAGAAAGAGAAAAAGATAGGGAGAGAGAAAAAGACAGGGACAGAGAAAAAGATAGAGACAGAGAAAAGGATAGGGATAGAGAAAAGGATAGGGATAGAGAAAAAGAAAGGAACAGAGAAAAGGACAGGGACAAAGACAAGGACAGGGACAGAGACAAGGATAGGGACAAAGACCGAGACAGAGACAGAGATAAAGGAAGGGATAGAGAGAGGCGCGAAAAAGATGATCATGATAAGAGCCGAGATAAAGATAAACGTGAAAGTCGAGATAAAGAACAAGAACGTGACAGTAGAAGTAGAAGTGATAAAGATAAAAGAGACAAAAGAGACACTGAAAAAGGTAAAAGGGATACTGAAAAAGAAAAAGAACGAGAAAGAATTAGAGTTTAGAACCGGGTTATAGTAAACCGGTTCACCCGTGTCAAAAAAACGGTTCAACCGGTCAAAAATTTACGTCCGCCGCCAATTGGATTTACTATTACACAGAAAACAACAAAATTTAACACACATATTATTGTATTGTGAATAAACACCCTTTTTTTCTCTAAAAGCTACAATCTTTTGGAGGCTACTATACGGACTATCTATTGTTGCAAAAATTTTGTTAAAAATTTTTCTTTGTATAAGCCTTCATTATTATTTTCTTTGCTTTGCTAATATGTAATACACTGTGTTCGACACGTTCGATAGTACCCTGGGAATTCGTAGCGCCGGTTCGGGTCATGTAACGTGATCGCGTTGCATGAATGAACTACCCCTGCGTGGGAAGTCTCTGGACCATTGTTGGAAATTCAAAAAAAAATAAGGATTTTTGTAAACATAGTTTTATCTTTACTATGTTCACATTGAAAGAATAATGATTACAAAATAAAGTTTTATTTATTAGATAAAAAATTATCTATGTTCACAAACTTCACAAACGTGAACATATAGTAAAAAAACTGATTTTTTTTAAAAATGTATACTGAACACTGAACATATAATGGTTCTACCACAAAATCCCGACATCCAAAATCTCGACAGGTCATACTGACATCACGCGATATGACAATTAAAAATTTAAAGCTTACAATGATTGTCAACGTGATTACTAATTTTTAAATCTTAATTGTCACGTAGGGATTATGGTTTCGAGATTTTGGATGTCGGGATTTTGTGGTAGAACCACATATAATTTCCAAGAGGATAACACCGACACAGCTAATGACCAGTACTAACCTTAATGACACAGCATGACCAGCATTATACGTAGTTAAGGTTAGTATTAGAATTAAGGAATTAAATCACGTGCTGCTGTGTCGGTAGTTATCCCCTTCCAACACTGCTTCGGACACATCTTCCCAAGAGCGTCAACCATCACATGATATCCGACAAAATTCTTTAAGTTCGTTTATGATAGGGTTACGGCCTATTTTAGTGTTAGAATTAAAGGTTTTAACACTAAAATCGTTCAAGAAAAACTTTTTGTTAATGCGCAGGATGTGGTTTCCTATGCAGATTTTGAGTTATAAGCGATTTTTGACAAAACGAACGTTTGTAACCTGCACATGTTGGCTTTAGGAAAATACTATCTTAATAGTACACTGAGTGCTTGTAACGTTGTGTACGTTTCCTTGTGGTGCTTATTAGGTAGAAGTACCTAAATTATACACCAGTCAAGTATAATAGCCAAGGAAATAAAACGCTAGTAAAAGTCGAATTGCACGCGTGTGGTTAAAAAATTTTCGTATTCCAGATCGACCGCATTTCCTAATAGATCATCCTTATTTGAGAACAATGCGGCACTATTATTCGATGGTAACGATATAAAACCCACAGTGAGTACGACGAAAAGAGAATACACTAACTGCACCATCGTTCCTAAGTTTATGCCTATGGCCCTGCGCTAAATTGTTACCGAATCATCAAGCTCTCCCAGGTCACAACTAGAGATGGGCACGCGCGGGATTTTTAATATAAAATTATCTGACCGGCATTACCATATCATCTGGCTGCATTAACATAATATCTGGCTTGCATTAACATAATTAGTAATTGCAGTCTCGGATATTACCAAATTTGGGGGTCGTCTAAAGCCGTGTCAATCACGTGACCTGAAGCCAATAGAATTGTTTATTTTGATCGACACGGATCAGCCCGAAGAGACAAAAAACAGCGAAA